TAAAAGTATTGGTAATTATTATGATATTTATATAATTTAATAATTTTTTTAAATTAATATATATATTTTAATTTAATAGAAGCTTTGAATATTACAAATAATGAAATAAGTAAGTAATTTAAAATATAATATTGATATTATGTTTTAATTTTAATTTTATTTATATTAATTTACTTTTATAATAATTGAAAATAATTAAATCATTTATAAATATATTAAATATATTTTTTTCTTTTATAACTATATTATGTTATTATAATTTTTTATGAAATATTTATTAAATAACACTGTATATAGAATAAATATTATAAAAATACAGTTTGTAATTACTCAAATAAACTTTTATAAATTGATTTTAAATTAATAATTAAATTATAAAAAATAAAATCAATCAAATTTATTTATTAGTTAGAAATTATTTGTATAATTGATAATATATAATACAATTTTAATTTTATTATATTAATTATAAAATATAATATTTGATCTTGAATCTGATACCAATGTTTATTGAGTAGACTTTGATTCCATTATTTATTGACGAATTTAAGTGTGTATCTATTAATAAGAGCATCTAATTTATCACTAAACTTAATCTAACGAGCATTATCCATTTTGTCAAATTCGAACGATATCTTAGTTGGTATGCTTCTTTTGTTAAAATTTATGTACAAGAGTTAGAAAATGTAGCAACTGTCACATTATGATCAGATTCTTTGTTTCCTAGTGCAATTGTGTAGCAGTATAATAAATTGAGCGCAAAGTCTGCAGAGGTCCATACTAATCGATTCGTGATGAATAATGACATGTTATAAGTTAGAAAATTAACACAAGAGCTATTATGTTTAATAGTGAAGGTATCGAAGATGGAGAGTCTGTATAGAGTATTAAAGAACTTAAGGATATCTTGAGGATTGTGTTTACAATCCATATTAGCATTGAAGTCTCCCAGAATGAGTATGTGAAAATCATTATTCAAGGCTTCTTGTATCCAATTAGTTAAATTTGTTATACTTCATTTCTAATATCGAGGTTCGCCGGTGGTAAAGAACAATTGATCACACAATGTTTTTGTATTTTGGTAAACTATAAATCAGCGTAAATTATACGATCTAATTTGAATCATGGCGCGTAAGGAGCTAGATTTTTAGAAAAAATCAGGCCTACGTTATAAGCTGCTTTCTTTGAATGCAATACAGAATTGAAAAATGAAATAAAGAAGGATGTGCAGGGTTAAAAAGTTTTGAGGTACAATGACGAAAAATTATCCGTGATAAAATAATACATTGAGAAATGATCCCGCATTGTTTTTAACAAGGTGGGGCCTAAATAAAATTTTTACATTCTTTGTTTATTTGAAAAAATGATAAATTTAAATTATTAATTTAAAATTCAATCGCGAACATGTATCAAGTATTGTACTAAATAAAAATCCTGTTTAATTGTTAAAAATAATAATAAAAATTTTTTTTCGAGCAACCTATATCTATAATTGATTTTTATAAGGAGTCGATCACTTAAACCCATAGCGATAGAATTAATTTATGCTAAATTGTTCGTAATATTTAATATTTTTTTTTTTGAAACAGATTCTTAAATTCAATTAACCCACTCATAATGACTTGTTGGCTACTTGCATTTTGTTTAATTTATTTTTGTATCTAGCAAAATGAATTAAATAAAATTCTTGGAGAGAAAAAAATGCATGCGGTAAATCTTAATCAAATTTATATAGCCATTTCCAGCTACCACATGATGAACCTGTTAATGGAGACTAAGAAATTAGAAAATCAAAAAAATAATTATATAGATCATTCTATTTTGTATAATTCTCGGTGTTAGACCACGAATCGTCTCAAAACCATAAACTTAAGATCACAATTATCTCGAAGGCCTTTTCTAAGAGAAATTAACGATTAACAAACAAAAACGATTTTATCACAATTCACTTGTGTAGTTAGTTATCACGATTAAATCCTATGATGAAGACAAGAAGATTGAAAGTGTAAAATATATTCAATTGTAGAGTTATAAGTCTAGTCCCAAGACTTATCTTAATCTCTGAGCAAAACTCTGTCGACTCAAGTTCAACTTACAGGTCTATTTATATAAGATTGCTAACTACGCTTTTTGATAATTATAAATGATACATATAATGAAAACTAGATAATATAATATAATATAGAGAGAAGAGGCCACACAAGACAAGTGTTTCTCAGATTTTGTAAGTATGATAATACGAATCTGCAGTACCGCACACCCTACATATTACTGTTCGTTCACCTTACAATGAAACAAATATTAAGGTGTTAAAAAACTCACCCTTCGTTAAAAAAGCTCACTTTCTCTAAAAATATGTCTTGACTTTTTTCCAGACATAAAAATAAAAAAAAAATAAAAAATAAAAGCTTTATACAATACTGGCGTTATCATTATCTTTCGAGTTATTATAAGAGCTAAGCTTTTTTTTTTTAAAATAAATAAAAACAGTGAAAAGAAGGTGAATCATGGAGTATTTAAATTTTATGGATATAATAACTAACAAAAAAAAAAGATTATTTCTAGATCCACGTGACTAGTACTTTAAATAAAATTATTTATATTAAGGGGAAAACCAATTTGATTTGCAAAGTTTTGATCCTTCCCAAAAGTATCGGATTTGAAGTTGCAATTCTGATGATCTGAAAGATCAATAATTTCGAAAGGTTATCTAACAAGAACTTTATGGTAAAATCTTTTGACCGCTCACGTTATTATTAGATTGGTGGGAATGATTAAAAAAAAAAAGTAATAATGAAATGACCTAATATAAAAAGAAAAACCTAAATAATAAAAGAAAATAAATTATGTTAAAAATCAGAAAATAAATTTGATTGATACACAGCGATTGAACAAAAACAAATACGAAGGTGAACAACTCGAAAACGGCTGACTCGCCTGATCCTTGCGCAAACTAAGAGGTGCCTAAGGAAAGAAAAGGACCCAATCCGATTTAGGTTGGAATATTTAAATTTCATAAGTTCTTTTTTTCGTTATTCATATTGACTAAACCAAAAAAAAAATTGAAATTTTTGGTTAGCGCAAAAAAGTAGAAAATAATAAACCTTCTACATGTAGTGTTCCGTAGTAATAATCAAAGTTGGAACCAGGGAATATCACGTATTTCAGAATGATTGCTAGGAAAACCATGTACTGTGAATCAGTTTAATTAATTTTCAGAACCTCAAATAATTAAGCGGATATTCCTTAAATTATAGGATATGTTTTTATAGTATTTGGCTTATATAGTCGTTTTATGTGTCAATTAAAAATTTACATCGACATTTGTTAGCTTTATGTTTTTATCTTCTAAGCCGCGATTGTTGATAGCACAAGGTGATTCCATAAATAGATCCCAAATAAAGATAAAAAAAAGGTGAATACACGGGATGTCGTATTTTAGAAGGTGAACATCCCATTTTATGAGAGTGCTGTCGAGCTCATAATAAAGTTGACGCTTCCAATGACGCAAATTGACGGGTCTTTCGCTAATGAAAATTTTGATAAAAATATCTGAAACATTGCTTACTCCCCTCTCGTAAGTAAGAGGCATTGTTTATTTCACTACTTCTCGGTCTTGCACTTTGATTTCTTATAACTTTAGTGCATCCCCGAAGTTTTTACGCGTTTGTATAACAAACCTTCGGTTGAGTTTAGAGATATTATTATCGGTTAACTGGTCTCAGGAAAAAATACATTCTAATTTTCATACACTAATTATTATGCTAAATTTCAAATGTTATTGCGACTCTCGATACATATATATAGGTTGAACGAGATGAGAAATTTACTGTGTACCATCTTTTATTATCGCTGTAGCAGGCATGGTTGGCTTCACAATGTTATAATTTGGAAATAAAGAGGAACTTGGAGAATATATTCTTTTTATGGAATTTGTTAATGGTGCATCAGTGGATATGACGTGGTGTGAAGTTCACGGATCTTCACACTCCAAACATTATGGTTGTAACTCAGGTAAATTCAGTAAATTCAGTATATGCTGAATTTAGAATCGGTTCCAGAACCGACTTAGTCGCTCTTTTTGAACCGTTCCCATCTCTATATACTAATGAAGGCTCAATTTATTTCTCGTTTTTTGCTTAAAAAGAATTTTTGAAATCTAAATCTAATTAGAAGTAACTTTATAATTTTTTTTGGTTTTTTTGAAGTTTCAAATCCAGACAGCTGTGATAGGATGATTTTATTTTCCATGTGATAGGTAATTTTTTTTTGAATTATCAGATTCGTGTCTGATGGTCGGTCTGTGCTTTTATTTGTATTATTTGTGATTTTTTTTTCTTTTAAAACGTATTTCTCAGGTTGCATAGGTAAGATACTTTTTTAAAAAAAGTTTTGTTTTTATTTACGTTTCGCTTAGTGGCGCAGTTATCGAATATGTTAAATATTTTATCTACTTTTTCAGGTTCCTCTTTCGAGTTGGGTCACTTTCGCAAAGTTAAATAAGGATTTATTTGTATTTATTTTCACTTTATATTCCGTTGTTATTTTTTGGGTTCAATCGTTACATGTAGCAATAATTTTTTTTTCTGATTTTTATGGGATTTTTGTTTTTAAATATAATTTATATTCTTTTCTTATTTATGTTTCTTTTAAGATTATCTTTTTATTTTGATTATTTCGATTTTTTTCTATCTAATAATAACGCTTTTACTGTTTAAATTCTATTAGATATTTTAGGAATCAAAAGTAAAAATTCACGTTCCATTCCATTTAATCTTTTTTTTCAATATCTATATTAGTCAAATTGGAACAACGTGAGGTCGTATTTTTCTTGTAAAATTATTTTTCATTTAGCCACATTTCTCAACTATATTTTATGATTTGTTAAGTTCATCGTCTGTATATTAACGATTTTCGACTGTAATTTTCGTTTTGAATTCCTCAACAAAAGCACAAGTGCTTTTATAGCAGATTTGATTTTAAAAATTGCCCCGGGAAATTTATCGCGCTCTTCTCGTCGAAATGCAATAGGCTGTTAAAATAACATAAATTTTTTAATAAATAAATAAAATAAAATAAGGATATTTAATTAAACATGATATAAAGAAATCCTACTAACTTGAGATTCATGAGAAGCGTTCACTCTAAACTCATCGGTTTCAGCTTTCTCGCCTTCTTCATATAACCAATCAGATGTTTCAGATAAATTTGATGAAGCTTCAGCGCGTTGATCGTCCGTATTAACTAGTATTCATTAATTACAATGAAATCCTACGTGATAAACAAAAGCTTCAAGTTATTTTTTGCTTCTAGCGGACACGGCGTTGAAGTTCAGAAGCATCATTTGCACGTAATATTATGAATAAAAATGATTTAAAATATATATACTAAAAAAAAAATAAATGAAAAACTTGGATAAAGATTTATTTACCAACACTTTCTCAGTTCCGTTTAAAGGCTTGATACCAACATATTCTATATCAATGGCTTAGACCTACTCCTTTGAAGGCAGCACCTATCGTCAATAAGATGGTAGAATATAATTAATTACAAAAATCTTGAAAATATAAATATATCACATACAAAACACAGCCATTTACACGATAAATTTTTTCTTTTAATTCTTCGGCGAATTACCTTTGAAGGCGAATATCAATTTTTGGCCGACGAAAATTCGATCATTGACAACTGATAACACTTCAAGGTTAATACTTAATTTGTTAAAGTGTCACACTTTTATGCATGATGTTTTGAATCTATTAAGTTGTTTTAGTACTACCAGTCATAAAACACATGATCGTGCTGTAAGAACATAAGACCGGCAAGATCTGCAGCATTTAAAATGATTGCCATTATAAATTTAAACTATAATTTTGGCTAAAATATGTAAAAATTCTTCGTATAATCTTTTATTTTTACTAGTAAATACCATGTACCATATAAATTGTACTCTTGTATTTTATAAAGCATTTTCAGTTAATTTCCATTATTAAAAAAGAAGTAAAAATATTATTAAGAAAATTACTTAATAATAAAAATACAATAAAAAATTATAATATTAAGTATTAATACTTTATTATAGATGCCTTCTATAATTAAACTTGCTAAAATTTTTCTTACTTTATATAATATAAACATTTGATAACTTCCCTTTTTTTTTTTTTTTGATATTTTGAATGGTAAATGATTTATATTTAAAGTTATATTAAAGTATTAATATATTAATTTTAAATTACTAATTAATGTAAATTTTTTTATTTTTTGAATTGCCATTTGATATAAGCGTATCTTAAGTGCAAATCATAAGAACATTTTGTTTGGAGTACAATAAAAAAAAATAAATAGAACTATAAATAATATAAAATGATCGGCAAAGTCAAATTGGGAAATTTTCGGAATTTTAAATGCGATTGGATTTTCTTAAAAAAAATAAATAAATAAATAAATAAAATTATCCATTGAATATCAAATTCTTAATTTTTTTGCGTAATGAATTCAAAAAATTGCCATATCTTCTTTATAACCATCGTTCCCGTTATCATCGTTCTTTTATCATTATCATGCTATTCGATAGAATTTGAAATTATCGAAATATATCGAGCTGAATTCAATCAATTAGACATCGATCGATTTCCTGATGGGACTATTCTATTGGTAGATAAAGCTGAATTTGCTGATTTCAATTATGCAAATTCCACCATTGTTGTTAACAGCGTTAGATTACTTCACCCAAACAAAACTATAAAAGATTTGTTCGCTTTTACTCAATTGTGCCCAAATACAAATCTAAATTGTTTTATTAAAACGATAATACCATTTAAAGAAAATCATGTTCTAATGATTTACATAAATGAGCTTCGCCAATACACTGTAGTGATAGCAGACTGGTCTGACAATATTATTTGGAATGATACAACGATTACATTAGGGAACTTGGAAATTGGAACTCCACTAATCATTCAAAATAATTTTTACGATGAAAATAGGTCGTTATTTTTAGTCTCCA